AGTTTTTGGTTCCAGGGTCCACATTCTTAACTACATCTCCTAAGAGGATTCCTCCATCACATTGGTCTGTGGGGCATTTTGATTAATGACTGATGTGGGAGGACTTACATCACTGTGGGCGGAGCCATCTCTGGGCACGTGGTCCTAAGCTGTGTAAGCAAGCAAGCCGAACAAGCAATGGGAAGCCGGCCAGCAAGCAGCATTCTCACATGGCTTCTGCTTCAGCTCCTGCCTCCAGGCTCCTGCCCTTGGTTTCCCTCAGTGATGGGCTGTGATCTGGTCATGGAAGCCAAATAAAACCCTTCTCTCGCTAAGTTGCTTTCGGTTGTGGTGTTTATCAAAATAACAGAAGCCAAGCCAAGACAGACTATATAGGAGGCCAATCCCTGGACTTTTCCCAGGTTCTTCATTTATCACTTATTGGGCCAAGCTGGCAACCTAGATCTGCCGTCATCTGTGGAAGGCTTTCAGCCTCAGAAACACAGTGTACAGAAGGTCAGCAGAGCGGAAGGATGAGATCTTCCTGTCCGCATGCTTAGATCAGGGGGGCCACTTAAACATATTCTTTATCTCCCTTTTATGCTTGTCACCCAGAGGTGGTTCAAGGAAAACTACTCCAGCGGGACTCTGATTGCTCAAAGAATTAGTCAAAGATGGGCTGGGGAGGTGGCTCAGTCAGTAAAGTTTCTCACACCAGTATGAGGATCTGGGTTAGAGCTCCAAATCTACCTAAGAAGCGGGACACGGGGGCTAATGTTTATTATCCCAGCGGTGGAGAGGTGCAGACAAGGGGGGTCCTGGCCAGCTGTTGTAGCCAGCTTAGCGAACTTCAAACTCATAAGGCACCCTGTCTCAAAAAAAAAGGGGGGGTGTGGAGAGATGGCTCAGAGGTTAAGAGCACTGGCTGTGAAATCTTCCAGAGGTCCTGAGTTCAATTCCCAGCACCCACATAGTGGCTTCCCACCATCTGTAATGAGATCTGGTGCCCTCTTCTGGTGCGCAGGTGTACATGCAGACAGAACACTGTACACATAATAAATAACTCTCAAAGAGGAGACGAAGTTACAACACCCAAAGCTGTGTTCTGGTACGTACAAAACACTAGTCAAAGGTCTTCACGCCTGCTTAATTTTTGCTGACCGTATGCTTAGTTCCATAGTCTTGCCTCTTACTTCATCTCTCAGAGCGCTGTCTCTAGTTGGGTCTTTGCATTTTCCTTATGCTCAGAGAAGGCCCTTGTTTTTTGTTTGTTTGTTTTGTTTATTTATTTAAGTAACTACCTGTAGCTGTCCTTTTGTAGCCCAGGCTGGCCTCAAAGTCGCTACTATGTAGCTGAGGATGTCCTGGATTTCCTGATCTTCTTTTTTTGAGATGTATCCCAGGCTTGCCTCAAACTCGCTGTGTAGCTGAGTATGTCTTGAGCTTCTGTGCTCTTCCTGCCTCGCCTCCCAAGTTCTGGGATTACTGGTGTGGGCCACCAGGCATGTTTTGTTATACGGCGCTGAGGATCAAACTCAAGGCTTAATGCATTTAGGCAAACACCCTACCAGCTGAGCTGCATCTCCAGTCATCTTTGTTGTTGTTTTGTTTTGTTGAGACAGGGTTTCTCTGCGTAGCCTTGGCTGTCCTGAAACTTACTCGGTAGACCAGGCTGGCCTCAAACTCACAGAAATCCACCTGCCTCTGCGCCCCCAGTGCTGGGATTAAAGGCGTGGGCCGTCACTGACCAGCCGCATCTCTAGTCTTAAAAAAAAAAAAGAAAAAAAATCATCTTGCTGTGTAGCCCACGATAGCTTAACTCTTGATCCATTTGCATCAGTCTCTCAAGTGATGGGAGCTCAGGCATGTGCCACCAGGCCTTGCTATTAATTTTATTTTCTTTAGGGTATTTCTCTCCTTCTCCCTCTCTTTAATTTTTGACTTTTCTCAGATCTCCCAGTACTCGATTGGACCCCATGAATAAATAACACTCAGAACTAGATCTCTACTCACAGCCGAAGGGGGTGGGGGGGGCTCTTTAAAAATTGAAAGGCATGTGAGAAGAGCCTGGGAACAAACAGCTGGGCCAGCACTGAGGAAGTGGCTGAGGGAGCCTGCAGGCAGAAAGCCGCCCAGCAGAAGCAGAAACTGCGCAGAGGAGGCGAAAGGAAGCGGGGTGCAGCCCTGCTGTGCTCACAGGAGGGACGGGTTTCCTCTGTGGGAGCCGATCTGGCGACTTCCTTCCTCAGAATTCGCTGTGCTCGGTGATGTGGCAGCGACGAGCGAGCCCGGGCCACCCGAGTCTAAATTAACTAAGCAGAATCCTAAAGCTCCAGCTTCCCGTCACAGTCTGACAGCTCCACGCGGCTTGTGGCTGCCGGACTCCACAGCACAAGGTCCACGCGGTATTTCCATAGAGAAAACTCCCGTGGCCGGCCGTGGTGACTCACGCCCAAAAGCCCAGTGCTCAGGGATGCGGCCTTGGCTGCAGCAAGGTTGCCGACGCAGGCATAGAGAGTTCTAGACCAGCTTGGATGGCAGAGACTAGTCTCAGAAAGAAAAATAAACCTTGTAGAACAGCGCTAGCTGGGGGTTAGGGGGTGGAGCTAGGGGGCCAGGAGCCGGGCCTGTGTCCCACCTCCTGCAGGATCCAATCTCTTAAGGGGCCTCGGGTGTGGTTGTCTGTCCTCTCTCCTGGCCAACCCGTTCTCACATCAAGTCTGAGTCATTAGACTGTGCACACAAATTCCCGGGTTCAGGCCTTCCTGGTCTCTCCATCCCTTCTCCTTGGCCCTCTTCCTTGCCCTTGTCCCTGCTCCACTCCTCAAGTCCCCGGGAAAACCAAGCTGCATTAAAAAAAAAAAAAAAAAAAATGCCGTCAACTTTGACCTAGTTTCCTGATCACAAAATTAACGGGGAGGAGCCACTAACTGTTTGACCAGGTGAGAAATAAGGGAGGAATTCAGGCGAGACTCTTTACAGCAGTTGGGAAAGCTAGATACCGGCACACTGCAAACAGACGAAAGGGAGCCAGAGCAGGCTGGGATGGAGAGAAGGGTTTTCCTAGTGGGGAGGAGCCCGAGTTGAGTCCCCAACCGGATATAGTGGGCATGGTACCACATGAGTGCCTATGATCCCAGTGCCAGGAAGGTGGAGGCGAGAGGATCGGGAAGCCAAGGTCACCCTCAAGCCACAGCCTAGGCTAAAAGAAGGCCTGCCTCGAAAGACAAAGAAGGAAAAAATGGCCATCTGGCTTGGGTCAAGACGCTTGCTGGGTGAGCTGGGTGAGCTGTGAGTGATGGATCCTGGGATCTTGTGGGGGTCGAAGAGGAGGGCCTAGCCCACGGTTGTCCTTTGACCTCCGAATGCACGGTGACACACACCCACCTACCCACTCGCGCACACACACACACACACACACACACACACACACACAGGGATGGTTCGCTTTTTAAGTGAGGCAGGAAAGTAAGCAGCTGCTGTAGAGAATGATAAAGATCAACGATCAGGGCAGAAAAGGATTCCTTTTTCAATTTCACTTTCTGTTCAATTCAGTGTTGTCAGGCTTTTGTGGTTTGGGATTGTTTGGGGTAGGTGGCCCTAGCAGACCCGGTGGTACTCGTAGCTGAGGCTGCCTTAAATTCTCGGCAGTCTCTTGCCTCAGCTTCTCAAATGCTGGGTTTTAGGTGTGTGCCTCCTCAGCAAGCTTCCCCTTGATATCTAACACAGAGCTTCAGCGAGTTCCCTGGTGTGCAGAGAGAAGAAAAAAAAAATGCCAAAACAGGTCCTGAGGAATAAAGGTAGGGCTAAATTGTCAGCTAAACACTGAATTCCAATTACATGTTAACACCTATAAAGAGCCAGGTGGTGATAGCGCTCGCCTTTAATGCCAGCGCTGAGGAGGCAGAGGCAGGCGGATCTCTGTGAGTTCGAGGCCAGCCTGGTCTACAGAGCGAGTCAGCCAGGGTTACACAGAGAAACCCTGTCTTGAAAAATATTAAAAACACGACACAAAACAAAAATAGAACCATAGAGCTAGAAAGCTGTGGCTGCCCCTGTCATCTACTTCCTGTCACTAAATCTACAGAATAGTTGCTCATTTAGCATATAAACCGGGTTTATATTGGGGGAAAATATCTATAATAAAAACCAAGTTATGGAAGAGAACATCAGTCAGGCATGGTGGTATATATGGACTTCTAACCCCAGTGCCAGGAAACTAAGACAGAACTGCTGCAAGGTTGAGGCTAGCCAGAGCTACCTCAAACCTGCCTCAAACATAACAAAACCAAAATCTCCATTCCCGCCAACCATCCTGTTCTTGGGGTAGGTGAACTGAGGCCTGTGCCAGTCCTGACTGGTTCTCACTCCTTGGATTTAGTATCTGCTGAGTATGACCATCAGGAGAGCCATAGGCCAACAGGTCTGTTTTTCCTGCCTCTCTTGAGTGAACAGCCATTTAATTTCCCTCTCCCATTCCCTCCCCCCAGATCCTCCCTGCCTTTGTGTAAATAGAAGCCGCTCATTTGGATTAAAAAATAATAAATGAAAAGGAAGCTCCCCCTTTCCCTTGCAAAGCCTTCAGAAAGCTATTTTCTTTAGAATCCATGAACGTGAGCGTGGAGAACTGCCGAGACAGCTCACCCTCATTCCCACCTGCGTTTACACACATGCAACATAAAAGAAAAGCAAGGGCGTGGTATTGCATGCCTTCCCTTTAATCCCAGCACCTGGAAGGCAGCACCAGCACCATCAAACCTCACCATTATCTTTAGCTATGTGGGCATGCCTGAAGGAATCTGGTCGATAGGAGGTGTTTGCTTCCACCACCAGACCCCACTGATTTAGTCTCAACGGAGACCAAACCAGCTGACGAATCGCTGCTCTTCAACTCTCACATTACTTAGGTCTACAGGGACTTCTCTCTCCACAGGGTTTCCAGCATTTCAAGGCAGGGGGATACTCTTATACACAGCTACCGTAAACTTTTCTAATATCATTCTCACAGACAAGGAAAAAAATTTTTGCCATTAAAAAACTTTATTTTTTTAACAAAGAATATCCCCCATCTTGGGGTGAATATATATATTTGGATAAGTACAAAATATAGTTTTCATCATACAAAAAGATACACAAAATACAAAAACAATGAACCCACCATCAGCTCACGTACTTTCTGTCTGCATAGTGCGCTGACACAGGACACTGAACAAAGTGCTAGGTATTAGAGTGACTTTTTGAGCGCTGGTGGCAGTGAAAGCGATTAGAAGTACTCTCTCCTACCACTGGGCAGGAAACGGTGGGGGTGGGGGCTTCTGTGAAAACCTGCAATCCTCATTGCAATGTCTGGAGGCCTCGATCAGTGTTTGGGGCATCTCCATGCCGTGTCACCCAGGGCACGGCTATCAGCAGCGGCCCCTCAGATGATTAGTGTCAGAACTAGAATCCTGCACACTGGGAGAAAGTCTCAGAAGTAACAACCAAGCTGGGCCTTTAATCTCAGCACTCGGGAGGCAGAGTGGATCTCTGAGGCCAGCCTGGTCTATATACAGAGCTCAAGGATCTTACAGACCCTGTTCCCACCCCTAACCACCACCACCACCCCCCCCCAAAAAAAAAGCAATAACCCCCTTTCCCTGTCTTGGGGCTTAACCCTTGGAGACAGACTAGCAGAGCTTACATCTGTAATTGAGACTAAAACAAAATTGACAGGAGCTAAAGTGCTGAGAACATCGCCTTAGAAACAGTTCCAAGGAGTCTCAAGGAAATGACAGGTTCTCCCATCTTAATACGTTCACAAGAGAACACAGTGCAACCGGCTGTAAAATGGCTTTGATGGCGTCAGTGGGCACAGCCACTACTAAGCCCAGGGGAAAGCCACCTCGGCTGTAATTCACAGGTTTTTCTTTGTAAGGATAGAAAAACGGAACACTGATTTGAAAAACGAAACAAAAACACTGGTCTTCCAAAATTTTGGCCATGATTTTCCTTTTTCTAATATGTGAAATTTGCTCTCTGCCCCCATGGCACAGAAGGGTCATGGTTTGCTCTTATTTTTTAACAATCTATCATTCCCTTCAAAGACCATGTCAGGTCATGTATACCCTGACTCAAAAACTACGAACAATATTTTCATTTCCAAGATCTGAGAAAGTGGACCAGGTCTGAATTTTCTAGAGTGTTCTTATATCCACCCAGCAAACACTCCTATACCGCAGTGCGGGCACTGGCTGAGTGAGTCTGCACCACCTGAAGCCGGAGGCCACCTGCTGATCACCACCCTTGTGGAGTCAGAGGCTGAGGTGGGCCCATTCCCCACTGTAGAGAATTGGCGGCCAAGCAGAGGCGGAAAGAAATAGAGTACAGATGCGTCTTTTTCTCCCACACACTTGCTCACTGCACATTGCTGCTGCTGCTGTTGTTGTTGTTGAGGACGTATGGATCCACCTGGGGGGGGGGGGGGGGGGAAAACAGAGTATTTTAGGGTTTTTTCTAAGAAGTAGAAAAACGAAACATTTAGGCCTTCAGAAGGCCTAGGACAAAATGTTGTTAACAGTGGAACAGCAAGTCTCACCTCAGTGTAAGTAGGTGGGGGCATGAACTGGAACTCAGGGGCATACATAAAGATAGGGCTGTCTTGAGAACCTTCCACATCATCAAGGAGGGGGGTGGTGGGGCTCTCCAGCCGGTGATCTTCAGGAATGATGTCCATATAGCAAGGAGGAGCTACAAAGAGAAGAAGGGATCAGAAGCCCAGCAAAGAAATGCTGGACCACCCCGACTTCACACGCCCAGGAAGGACATAGCAAAGAAAAGGCAGTTCGTGTGGCTTACCTTCTGGGGTATCTGGGATGTTCAGATCTATCCAACTCATTTCAGAGCTCGTTCGGCTGGCCATGCTGGACGTCCGGCTGCTCAGACCTGACCTGCTGCCAATCACGAGGGGCAGGTCAAGGATGACTTTCTTGGAGCCAGGGACGCTCACGTAGATCTGGAAAAGAAGGCGGCAGTTTGTCAGGTGGATGGTGTAGACAAAGCACTGGATTTAGAAGCAAAGAGCTGTCTCTCCTCTAGACCCAGGCTCCCACCCTCGCTCACCAGCAAGGAGTACTCGACGCGGAGGATGTTGCAGCCCAGGATGGACGGCCTGATCTTCTGCACACGGAGGCTCTTGCCGCGCCACGACGCGCATGTCCCGGAGATGATGTGGTTTCCTCTGACCGAAGACAGCTTCTGAGTTAGCACTTTGGTCTGGCCATTGGCAAGATAAGTGTGTCGGGCCACGATGGCTGCTTTGGGGACCACAATTCGGGAACAAGTATTCTCAAAGTCCGCATGGATGGAGATGTCATCACCTGAGATTAAAGAAGAATAAAGTATGAATATCTATTAATCAATAATATTTCCTCTGCTCCTACTCTATGACCCGAGGCCCCTCCCCTCCTCAGACCCAGAGCTCTGGCTATCCTGTCTAGTATTTTAAGCAACAGATTTTTACCTTCACAAAATCCTTTCCTGTCAATTCGAGCAGAGACCGACACTCGCCCGTCGGGAATGAACATACAGGAAACTTTCTTCTCCTTTTTGGCAGATACTGGTGCCTGTGTAGAAGGACACAATGTTTTGAGATATTTCAATGCTCCAAGCATCTAACTTATTATCCCTGACCAAGGAGAATAAAACCTTAAAACAAACCTCACCATTAAATCAGGGGTATTGACATCCACTAGATCCATCACTTCAAAGTGTTTCTTTGCCTCTTGCGTTGGCTGGCTGGGGCGATCAAGAAAAGCTTTCACCCAGTAGTCTACACAACCGTATTTTCCCTTGAAGGATGTTCCCAGGGGCCTGTGTTAAAACAATAATAATAATAAAAAATTATTGCTAATAATTGTTAAGAGATTAACAGAGGGGGAGTGCTTTTAGAAATAAAAGGTCAAGGTGGGTCGAGCTGATGCTTACCCTTGAGGAAGCTCAAAGCCGAATTTGTACTCGTATTTGTTTCCAGGTCTCATGATCACCATCTCGTTCTCACCTGCAGGGAAACAAAGGCAAGGGGCCATGAGGTTTCCTGTTACGGTTCAGGTGCGTGGGCAGCAGAGAAGGGTATTTTACCTCTATTTTCATCTCTTACATTGTGGAATAAAAGATCCCGGGGCACTTTCCTGGACAGAAAGTTGCAAAGCCCACAACTACTACAAGGCTGGTCCAGCACACTTGCCCCGGGAACCGAGTATAGACTGGGGATACATGAATCCTTAAGTGGCTAAGGTAACACCTTCAGGAAACAGCACCTCAGAAACTGTTCAAATCACCCCCCCACCCCACCCCCCGGGGAGGGCGAAAGGGAACAGCGAGATTCTTGCAAAACCAAAGGTAAAAATCTAGGGACCAGCACGGTTCAAACCACTCAAACCAACACAACAACTCGAAACATCTGGCGGAGCCCCGCCGCCTCCCCTGTCCCCATCCGCCCTGCACGGCCCAGGCGGGCAGTACCTGTGGGCTGGTCCTCCAGGAGGAGCGTGTCCTCGTAGCGCAGGTAGTCCAGGGTCTGCTTGCACTGCTGGGAGCCTTGCATCCACAGGACCTTGGCCACCCCGCACGCCAGGATCCGCACGGCTTTGACCCGAGTCACTTCGCACACCTCCACCACCACCCGGCCGGCCACCTTCTCCCCGCCGCCGTACACCTTCTCCGGGTCGTTGAAGACCACCTCAAAAGACTTGATCTTCTTGAACATCACCATGATGGGGCCGAGCGGGTTCAAGACCAACGGAAGCCGGAGGGGAAAGGCTCTAAGACCCCGTTCACAGCCAAACTGAGAGTCCGCTCTCCGCCAGGCAGGCAGGCAGAAGCCCTCAGACAGAGCCGAACTTCTCCGGAAGGTGCCCGGAACTTTCAAGCCCAAGGCTTTCGGGAGGGCGCGCGTCCGCTGCAGCGGCGGGAAGAGCTGGGGATGCCCGAGAGCCCGGAGGACGGAGAGTGGCAGCCGGAGCCGGAAACGGCCCTTTATAGCCGCCCGGCTCGCAGCCCCACGCGAGCGCCGGCCCGGAGGCTCGTGCAGCCCTCGTGCACAGCCCTCCCATTGGCTGCCGGGGCCTTGTTTACCAGGCCTCCGACCAATCCGCGGGGCCGCGGGGGCGCGTGGACACGGTGTGCTCCGAGCCGGGAAGCGGGTGCTGCTCGGGTGCGCGGCCGTGCCAGCAGGCGGGGCGGGGTCGGGGCGGCTCTCCCGGGGCCCTGAGCCCGGTCCAGGGACGCCCTCCCGGGAGCAGGGCTGTTTGGGTGTGTGTTGTGTGGTGTTTTTTTGTTTTTTGGTTTTTTTTTTTTTTCTTTTTCTTTTTTTAGGTGAAAGAAAAATGTGCTTAGGAGAGGATTCCACGCCCGGGCCTGGCCGGCGCGATTCATTTCGCGGTGACTTGTTTTTCCTGGCTCACAAGTTCGCAAGTCTGTGAAAAACAATCCCGCGGCCCCGAGGATACTTGAGGAGGCGGCGGAGGGTGCGGATGTGGCCGTGGGGAGGAGCCACCCAGGCCCTCCAAGCGCGGCTGTGTCCCGGGAGGAGAAGCTGGCAGGTGTTTCCAGCCCTCGGGCCTCCCGGCCAGCCGCAGGGCCGGGCCTGTCCCCTTCCTCCCCGGCCCACGTGCTGCCACCGTCCCTCGCCCGTGTTCGCCCGGCCTGTTCCCTGGAACGGAAGCAGCGAGGGAGTGCCCACATCCTGCTGCTTATCCCCTCATCTCCAGTGTACCTGCGAAGCCGGGGAACACTCTGTAAAAGTGCCCTCGTTTACCGCCTCGCGGCGCTGAGGGAGGTGTGTGCCTGACGCGCTTCTCTCCCCGCTGCTCCAGGAAACGGGCGGGTCAAAGGAAGATCCATCACTTCACTGTGTTCCCGGGTTCCTGCCACTTTTCCCCCCCTTTCTTTTATCTATCTATCTATCTATCTATCTATCTATCTATCTATCTATCTATTTATTTATTTGCTGTTTGTTTGTTTGTTTGGTCTTCGTCCCTGCCTCTTTTCTCACGCTCACCGGGGCTTACTCTGGATCGGTTTCCTCTGGCTGTCCAGCAAACCTTGCTGAGTGAGGGATGGATGCCTCAGGAGCTGACTCGGGGAAATAACTCTGAAGTGTGCTGAGAAAGCTGCAGGAGAGGCAGCCCCACACCCCACACCCCACCCTTGCCCCTGAGCCGTAGGCTCCTTCCGTATTTGGGCACAGTAGTTAAGGAGGAGACCGTCACCTTGTTTCTTGCGCTGGACAATGAAGACAGTGCTTAAGATGAGGTAAAATGCTTCTGCAGATATAGAAACTCTGCCTTCTGCACCATCAGCCTGGTCTCCGCGGTTGATGGAGAGCGCCCGCCCCCTCTCCCCAGGCCTTCGCTTGTTAGCCTTAGGCTAACAGGTTACAACTCAACTCTAATCTTAAGCAAGCTCAGAGCCGGGGCCACCTGACTGAAAAACATATACGCGACACCAAAGCCTGGGAACGCGCTGATCCTTAGGGTGTGTGTGTGCTCCGTAAGGGTCACTAACCAGGCCTGAGGTGCTTTCCGAAGATAAACTGTTGATTAAGAACAAGGGAGGTAGGGCGCTCGCTGATTTTAGTACGGACCTATAGCGGGCACCTGAGAAAAACATTAGCTTGATGGTATGAATCGTCAAAATGCAGTGTTAATGGTGTGGTTGTAGCCTCAAGCGTGCCACCTGCAGGTAGAGACCAGAAGAGAGGCTCGCATGCCCTGGGACTGGAGTTAGGCAGCCCCTTAGGCGCTGGGGTTTGAACCCGGCTTCTCTGATTCCATCAACCATGAAGCCGTTCCTTTAGCCCCAGCTGCATAAGATTTGAGAAGAACCAGGAAGAACCCCCACAGTAGGAGGGAGGCAACTCTGACCTCCATCCCCTCCCACTACTCAGGCCCAGGGACACACAAAATAAATGTAAAAAGTTATTGTTTTCTAAGATTTGAGGGGAAAGGAGAGAGAGTGGCTGCCAGTGGGCCAGAGGGTATAGCCTGGGGACATCTTAGAGGAAAGGCAAGGCTGTCTATGGAGTGTCGAGATTTTTAAATTTAAAGCCAATCTGTGGCAAGTTCCGCGTCTTGTCCCCAGCGTGACTGTTGTTCCTCCTGCTTTGCAGCACTCCCTGCAGACCGTTTGTTTGTTCTGTTAGGCCAAAACTCTGTTTAACTTTGGCAGGGGCAGCTGCTTCCCGGGCCTGTAGCCAAGGCATGTTCTGAATTGGCCGCCTCCCGGAGAGGGTTGTTTATAACCTTTCACCTGGTATTCTGGTAGCAGTCTATCCCTCCTCACACACGCTCGCTCGCACGCCCACTCACACACACATGCATCACTCACACTCACATCCTTCTCAGTTCTTGGGTGGAAGAAAGAAAAAAGTCTTATAAACTCCTGCCCTACAAACAGTACAAATGCTTGTGGATACAGGGGCAAGGACAGAAGTGCCCAGGAGGAGCAGAAAGGCAGAGCCTGGCCCAGGAACTCTGCAAGTCAGGTCGTGGGTTACCTGACCCTTCCCCACCCCCTTATTCCCAGTGCCAGTAGGAAAACAATGGTGTCTGTGCGCTCTTTCACTTTAGAAGACCCCATAGCCAAGGCTTGCCGGCCTATGCGAGGGAGGAGGCCATGACCGCTTTCTTTTTCCTTCCTCTTCTGACGGCGAAGGGTGTACAGACTCAGCTGGGAATGCAAAGCAGCTTGTTTTCTTAGGCCCCGCCAGCACTCTCCCCGCTGTAAATTTGTCCTTTCCTTCATCCACCCCCTTCTTTCTTGTTTTCCCCTAAGGAATGGTAGTTTAGAGGGAGGAAAGGCCGAATGAGTCTGTGGAATTTGAGGCTGCCCAGTTGTATACATGACTCCAAGGCACAGAGTATAAGAACACCTAAACAATTCAGAGACTTTTTTTTTTTTTTTTTGCTTTTCATCTCATGCATCTCTACATCACTCTTCTGTAAGTAACTTTAAAACTGTGGGTGGCAGAGATGCTGGAGAGATGGCTCAGTGCTTGTTGCTTTTCCAGAGGACCTGGACTCCATCCATGCCTCACAACTGTCTGTAACTCCAGCTCCAGAGGATCTGATACTCTCCTGCCCCCCCCCCCCCATCACTGCAGCCTTTCTGGCTTCCTGTACACACATGGTCCACACATACAAGCAGGCAAAACACCCATTCACATTAAAACAAAATTAATAAAGCTAAAACCAAACAAACAAGCACAAAACCAGGGCCTCAGGATGTAATTTCAGCCTGGGATACCTGAAGCCTGAGGAGAAGGAAGAAGACAGACAGAGGGTGGCTCACACCTTAATTCCAGCACTTGGGAGGCAGAAGCAGGCTGGTTTCTGAGCTTGAGGCCAGTGTACAGGTCTACAGAGCAAGTTCCAGGACAGCTAGGGCTACACAGAGAAACCCTGTCTTGAAAAAAAACCAAGCCCCCCCCCAAAAAAAAAATATGGATCAAAAGTTTAAGGTAAGTTTATGGCCATCTGGATGACTTGAGACTATGGTCTGAAACAGAAAAGTTAACACACTGGGGTGTTTGCCTGTCTCCAGCATTTTGGCCAGCATCTCAGATTCCGTTCATCCAGTAGGAACATACACTGCCCCGCCCCTAAACACTAGCATGTTACCTTAAAAAAGGAGTGGGTGGGGGTAGGGAGGGACACAGGATATGGGAGACCGGCCTTGGTCTCCTGAGCTGCCCTTGTCCATTTTCCAGGTACATCCACAACCACTGTAGATTTCTTAATAGTTTTTGGATAATCTCCCCACTATAACTTCTAGATTACAACTAGACTAATCCAACAAATTTTTTTTCTTGCCAGCTCCAGTGATTATGCAAAATCCTGTGCTTCCTGAATCTCGTTCAAATGTCCGCCCTGACGTTTGAAGCCTGCACAATCTAGCCAAGCTTGCCTGTGCCACTGTCTACCACTTCCTGGTCTGTGTACCCTGCGCTTCGGCCAAACCTGGGTACTCCGTGTTCTCCTAACACCCTAACACCTGTGAAGTCCTTGCTTACGCTTTTCTCTCTACCTGGAATGCCTGCCTTCCCTCCTCAGCCCTGGCACCTGAAATCCCAGCCCTCTCCCCACCCCCAGCAGACAGTCAAATGCCATTCCTCTCGGAAATCTGGGTGCCAAGTCTTCTCATTTTTGGCCTTATAACTAAATGTTATTTTATTATCGTCCTTCAAATGCTTTTCATTCTTCCTAGCACCCCTCGGATCGAGGCTCCCTGGGTGAATACAGACTGAGCTGAGGGCTGGAAGGCCTCTCTGAAGGAGAATGCGCTGAATAGGACTCTATGATGGCTCATACCAATGCAGACTTTTAGTTTCTTTCTTCCTTTTTTTTCCTTCATTTGTTGTTGTTGTCATTAATGTTAGATTTTAACCCTCAGTTCCAGTTCTGCCCTCCTCAGAATCCATGGATGGATCAGTTATGTACCAGAGCGCAGCGTGAAGGCAGCGAGGGGGGGGGGTGTTTTTCAGCCGGGCTGTGTTGATGTAAACGCTCCTGGGGGACGGACACCAAGTCCTTAGCCTTTTCTGAAAACTTGTCCTTTTCTGAGAAACCCTTTCTTCACTAGTTCAGGAATGCAATTGGCTCAGTCCTGCCACCCAGTGGGCCGTTAAATGCATTGACAAGATCCTCTTGATCCAGAACATTCCAATGAATGGCGGATTCCTGATCGTGAGAAAAAGGAATAGACGAGAAAAATGGTGTTCATGATTGAGGAAGAAACTATACGTTAAAGCAGTTTCCCCTCTTTTTTTAAAATCTGGGTGACAATTAGAAGTACTTTGTTTCTTACCTTGTGTTAAAAAAAAAAAAAGAAACAAAAATAGATGATTCAGGGGTTAAGAGCACTAGCTGAGCTGAGCAGTGGTGCAAGCCTGTGATCCCAGCACACTTGAGAGGCAGAAGCAGGTGGATCATCCTAA